CTCTCTCCATGCCATCACTTCTCCTCCATCTCTGGTGTTGCTGCTTCTCATGCTCTTCCCTCTTTATGGTCCTTTCACCATATCCATCTAGCAAGATGAAAACTATTCCATGGAGATTCTATCTTCTTCCCCTTGCTCTGAAACTTAACTCCCTCTAGAAAACTTGTAAGCAAGCTACTTTGTGCTTTTATATCCCCCTTTTTAAGTAACCGATGTCTGAATTGCCCTTCCCTATCAACCTTGTGTACTGAGGGGATAGGCTTGATCCTTGATGTGAAGACTCTTGCCCTCTCAGTTGGTATTTTAAGATACTACATCCATAAATAAGGAGCTCTGGTAGCAAAGTGGTTATGAGTTAGGCTGCTTATCTCATGGGCTGCTAAACTACCAGCAGTTCCATGGGAGGAAGATGAGGCTTTCTGATCCCATAAAGATTTATAGCCTCGGAAACCCTATACAGGGTCATTATGAGTCGATACCAACTCCACGGCACACAGCCACCACCACTACCACATCCATAAATAAAGGTCAAGTTCATTGAATTGTAGCAATTTATATTGCTTCCTGTATCTAACTTTTTTATCTTACTCTAGTCGAGTTCCAATCATCAAGCCATCCAAGATAGGTCAAATAGGTACTATCTCATTGCAAATACCTTTTATAAACAAAATAAAAGACTACTATACACACGGACCTCACCAGGAGGAATACACAGGAGTAAAATTGACTACATCTGTAGAAAGACAAAGTGAAAAGACTCCATATAATCAGCCAAAACAAGGCCAGGGGTAGATTGTGGAACAGCCCATCAATTACTCATATGCATGTTCAGGCTGAAACTGAAAGAAATTAAAACAAATTTGTGATAGCCAAAATATGACCTTAAATATGTTGTTGTCAGGTGCCACTGAGTCGGAACTGACTCATAGCGACCCCATGCACAGCAGAACGAAACAATGTCCAATCCTGGGCCAACCTCACTACCGCTGCCACACTTGAGTTCAT